TGTCTTTCACTTAGAGCCTCTTTTGAACCTTGACGATAAGTCTTCAACATCGAAGACTTAATACACGTTTGACTTCACTTCAGTCACCCACTGACCACTGACTATTAGTCATGTAATTTCAGTATATATTACATGACTAATAGTAGTACTGTATTTATTTATTGTACTGAATATATCCAGAATCTTTACTGTATCTATTTCCTTAAAATGTCACAAAATCAGCTGTCACACTATTGAATCTATTTTTTTGCACTAAATAAATCTTTTTGGTGCCAAGACTCTGAATTAAATATATTTCATGGTTTCACTACTGAATCTATTTTTTTGCACTAAATAAATCTTTTTTTCGATGCCAATACTCTGAAACAAATATATTTCATGGTTTCACTACTGAATAAATCTTTTTGGTTAACATGTCACAAACTTGCCTGTCACACCACTGAATACATTTTGGCTCTGGATAGACTACTAGAGGTGTCTGGGGTCCTAGTTCCAAAGAAAAGTGTGTTATGATTTTTCACTAGTAGAGGTATTATTGATAAATTTCTTTTTGTTTGTAAATGCTTTCCTGGGGCTGTAGGGTCCTACTGTTTTCAGGATCCACTGCCCATTGCCAAATATGGAAGGTGTGGCTATGTTAAATGAAAAATAGCAATAAAATACAGGGAACAATGATGAGTTTAGGGTGTTGCTCACTGTTGGTGATGATGTTGGGGGCGGTTTTCAGGGTCCAGGGCACATTTCCAAATAAGGAAACATGCGCTTTTTCACATGTAAAATAGCAATAAAGTCAGGAAAAATTAGGGGTGGTGTTCACTGTTGGGGACAATGTTGCAGGTTGTTTTCAGGGTCCAGGGTGCATTTCCAAATATGGTAATATAGCTAAAAACAGCCACAAAATAACCAAAAAATCAGAAAAAAATGGGGGTGGTGCTTTCTGTTGGTGATGACATCTGGGCTTGTTTTCAGGGTCCAGGGCATATGTCCAAATAGGGTAGTATATTCAAAAATAGCTAGAAAATAGGAAAGAAAATGGAAAAAGATATGAATGGTGCACAGAACATCAGGCACTGCCTTCAGGGTCCATCCCAAAGTGGAAACATCACCTGGTTTGACCAAAAGTAAAGAAAACCAACAGGAGAATGTTTTTATCTATCAGGGTCCATGTAATGGGATGTTGGGATGATGGTCACATGACCAATTACCAAAAATGGTGAAAACGAAAGTTGTAGCCCTACATTGTAGCTTCCCGAATCTGTTTGAATTATATTCCTGAATCTGTTTGAATTATATTCCCGAATCTGTTTGAATTATATTCTGAAGTGCTCCTGTTATGGAGATATGAGGTAAAGGAATTTCAAAAGCATCGCGTTTTTTTTTGTTTTTTTGTTTTGCATTTTTCTCCATGAAAACAAAACCAAACAACATGATTTCAGTATATTTAGAAAGCTAAGAGAAAGGGCTACAATTATTGTATCATGGGAAAAATGGCCAAAAAAGGAAGGTGCATACCCTAGAAAAGAAATTGACACTGACAGACTATACCGCCATTTGGGCCCCAGGGTGATGGCAGAATGCCGAAATTCCTGATTGGTATCAAACTGCTCCTCTGTCAGCTACACAATTGACAGCTGTTGGGCAGCCTGTCGGATCCCAGCTGGTGACAAGGAGTTTGATTTCTGGGCACCAGCCCTTGTCTAAATCTACTCACCAGCTTCACCCACTGAAATCATGATACCTACATATCTCACTGAAGTACCACATTTGTTTGAAGTGCATAGTAACTAGTAGCTCTTAATGCATTGACTTTATATTTTGTCATACCCCTTCGTAACAATAAAATCCCTTTCAGCAGAATTGTCCAGACGAACAGAGAGAGATACATGTGGGAAATATGTTCATACTCCGCAGCTTCAAAAAGGGCATAAACTGTTGTCAACAATCCATTGCCTCCCTTGCCATGCAACCACAACCTCGCAACTTCACCACTCCATCATCGTTTCCGACCACATCATGCCATGTCTGCTGTCTCCAGTTTTGCCAATGCCCAACACACACGCCAATACTCAACACATATGAGTGGCAAAGTGTGGATGGGGTCAAGCACTGCCAACAACACACTCGGACATGTTGACTGCCCACGTTGCCCACACCAGCCACGCATTGGTTGACGCCAACTAACTGCAACATCAACACCACCTGACCAACTCCGGCATCATGTACAATGTTCCCTTGCCTGCCACGTGGAGCTCTCTTGCTTGGTAAGTTCTCACCTGCTATGGGGGTTGCTGTCCTTGCTGTTTGTTTGTCCAAACCCTGCCAAAGTAAGTCACTAATGACAACCTATCCTGTCTGCCTGCTAATGTGGACATTCTCTCTTTAGACTTCTTCACCACTGGCCATCACCTCCACCACCAGTCGACGAAGGGGGCATATGAGATCACAACGACTTGAGAGTATCACAATAGCAGGGAAGGGAGTTATGGGTGAGTAGTAGCATATAACTAGCCTCTTCAGTAGTACCAGTAATTTCATCGTGTTATTGAGTAACAAATACATATCATTGATTTTTCTACATTATGTGCTTGGATTGTGGAGGGAATTGAATGGGATATTGAGTTATTGAATACATGGTTGCCATACTGTGATATGTACCCTCTCTACATATTCACCCACAGTGACAATAGCCAGAGCAGTCAACTGGAAATTGGCTGGACCTGACAGGTCTGTGCCAGCTAGGCTGGCAGCAGAACCCTATTAGTTCGATTTTGTTCTGATGAAAAAGCACACACTTTGTAGTCAAAAAAAGTGAGAACTACAAACTTTCCAAATGGAAAAGTGCACACCAAACTTTTGTAGTCCCAAAAGGCAGACACTACAAACCCTTCTAAGGAAAAAATGAACACTACAAAATTTTGTAATGATTGAAAGTGGACACTACAAACTTTGTAGTCTGGATACACTTTTAACCCTAACCCTAACCCTAACCCTAACTTTGTAGTCTAAGTCCAAACTTTTGTAGTCTAAGTCTGACATTTGTAGTCTTTTGTAGTCTATCAGTAAACTTTGTAGTCTAAGTCCGACTTTTGTAGTCCTTTGTAGTTTATCAGTAAATTTGTAGTCTAAGTCCGACTTTTGTAGTCTTTTGTAGTCTATCAGTAAACTTTGTAGTCTAAGTCTGACTTTTGTAGTCTTTTGTAGTCTAAGTCCGACTTTTGTAGTCTTTTGTAGTCTATCAGTAAACTTTGTAGTCTATGTCTGACTTTTGTAGTCTTCTGTAGTGTATCAGTAAACTTTGTAGTCTATGTCCGACTTGTTTGTAGTCTATGGTAGACTCTTATACACCACTATTTGGGCCAGATGTGGAAGCCACCTGGGGCATGCAGTGTATCCTCAATATTTTCCCACATTGTCACCAGTGTGATGGATTGTGGCCACCAGCTCAAAATCGAACTAATAGGGTTCTGCCACCAGCCTAGCTGGAATATATTACCCTATTTGGACATATGCCCTGGACCCTGAAAACAAGCCCAGATGTCATCACCAACAGAAAGCACCACCCCCATTTTTTTCTGATTTTTTGGTTATTTTGTGGCTGTTTTTAGCTATATTACCATATTTGGAAATGCACCCTGGACCCTGAAAACAACCTGCAACATTGTCCCCAACAGTGAACACCACCCCTAATTTTTCCTGACTTTATTGCTATTTTACATGTGAAAAAGCGCATGTTTCCTTATTTGGAAATGTGCCCTGGACCCTGAAAACCGCCCCCAACATCATCACCAACAGTGAGCAACACCCTAAACTCATCATTGTTCCCTGTATTTTATTGCTATTTTTCATTTAACATAGCCACACCTTCCATATTTGGCAATGGGCAGTGGATCCTGAAAACAGTAGGACCCTACAGCCCCAGGAAAGCATTTACAAACAAAAAGAAATTTATCAATAATACCTCTACTAGTGAAAAATCATAACACACTTTTCTTTGGAACTAGGACCCCAGACACCTCTAGTAGTCTATCCAGAGCCAAAATGTATTCAGTGGTGTGACAGGCAAGTTTGTGACATGTTAACCAAAAAGATTTATTCAGTAGTGAAACCATGAAATATATTTGTTTCAGAGTATTGGCATCGAAAAAAAGATTTATTTAGTGCAAAAAAATAGATTCAGTAGTGAAACCATGAAATATATTTAATTCAGAGTCTTGGCACCAAAAAGATTTATTTAGTGCAAAAAAATAGATTCAATAGTGTGACAGCTGATTTTGTGACATTTTAAGGAAATAGATACAGTAAAGATTCTGGATATATTCAGTACAATAAATAAATACAGTACTACTATTAGTCATGTAATATATACTGAAATTACATGACTAATAGTCAGTGGTCAGTGGGTGACTGAAGTGTTTGACTTAACAGAAGTCAGCATATCATAGAACCTTGGACTGACCTTCAGGCACAAGGCTACTAGAACCTACCATGTCGCTTTGAGGGCCAAGCGAACGTTGTAGTGACCCACTTTGTCTCAACGACGAGAACTGTGGTAGACGAACGAACGATTGAACTCGAAAGCTTAACATAACTGCCTGTTACGCTTAACAACCGTAACAAAAGGTTCAAGCTTACCCCAAAACAGAAGGCGCATCGCCGCCCTCTACCCAAATTAGACACACTGGACAATGTAACAAGAATTATACGTCTTACCGAAGAGTATAACACCAGGATCGAAGACGTTATAAGTCTCATCAGAGAATATAACGAAAGAATCAAAGACATCATCATATTGATAGAAGGTGCGTCAAACCCGCCTCCTACCTAAAGAAACCATGGCTGCTCAAAGAGAATCGAACCGTTGGACATTACAAGCACCAGCAGAAAGCTCAGACTCAGAACCCGAACCAAGAACCGACACCTTCACATCCGGTGAAGAACAGTACGAAAGCGCAGATGAGGGTAACAGCCCCCCTGCATCACAGACACCAGTAACAGGAACATCAACACCCGTATCAACCACAGAGAGATATAGACGAATAACAGGGCTAGGACCATTAATGTCACCCTTCAGCAGACAAACCACACCCAGAGGATCACCAGCAATCACCAGAACACCCAGCAGAAGCATACAGCCACTACTTGGACCAATCATCCCGACACCTGCATTTACACTGATAGATTTATCCAATTTAGGTATCACACCTACCGACGAAAGAACTCAAGCAGTTGAACAGTTTAACACATTCATGTTAAACCTGTACCCCAAGTCACCAGCAGTACCTGGAACTCCCAGACAAACCGACACACCAGTAGAACCCGAGAACCTGACAGAACCAAGACAAGAAATGGCCGACGCTGCCAACGCAAAAGGTGACCGATGCCACGCACCTAAAGATTTTGATGGAAACGAAGACAAGTACAAGACTTGGCTTAGAACGATACAGACCTACATGGAGGTCAACAATCACTTGTTCAGCACCGACAAGTGAAAGATCCAGTTCGCCATCAGTTTTATGATCACAGGCAGAGCTGCCGACTAGGCAGAACATTTTACAGACACCCACACAAATACTGAAGGAGTATTCGTTACGACGTCCATGTGGAAAGACTTTGTCAAATTATTGAACGAAACATTTGACATCAGAAAGACAAAAGACAAAGTGAGAGTAGACCTCTCAATCCTTAAACATAAACCCAGACAGCTCAAGCAGTACATCCTCAACTTTACCGCACTCACCAATCGAGCAGGATATGTTTTAACAGGAGACATGGAGAACCTGGTTCTCTCTCAGCTTTTCCTCAAACACTTGAATCCCTCGTTACAGGAAAAGATTGAAACACAGAAAGAACCACCTGAGACACTTAAAGCCATCACGGAAGATGCTAGGAAATTCGACAAGTCGTATTATAAGAATCAAGCATGGAAGACGAAAGTTATGGGATGGCAACCAACTAGAAGCATGCCTCACCAACTCCCTCAATCATCCTATACTCCCAGACCTTGAGATCCAGACGCCATGGATATCGACAGATTAACTATCGAAGAACGAAACGAATATATGAAGAAAGGGAAATGTTTCCGATGCAGACAAACAGGGCACGTGTCTCGCGACCATGCGACCAATCCCGCCCTTAACACTGGAAAAGGAAGTACGTCCAATTTTAGAAAACCCGCCACTCCCTATAAAGCTATCATGCCACCACTGAACAAGAATGCCAACGCTGCACAGAGAGTCGGTGCCATCATGGCAGGACTCAATGACAAAGAATTAGAAGAAGCAAAAGTTGCTTTTATAGAATCTTTGGATAAGGATCCAAATGAACCAGCCAAAGAAGAATCAGACGATGAAGACGAAAACAAGGGTTTTTAGTAAGAAGGCTAGCAACGACATCTAGACCTTCTAAACAACTTTCTATTAAAGCTCTTAGAATTTGAGGTGTACCTAACAATGATTTGAAATCAATGCACGTTAACACAAGAATTATTAATGAAAAGAAAATCGTCAAAACAAAAGTGCTTATCAACAGTGGTGCTCAAGGAATTTTTATGGATGAACAATTCGCAAAGAAATACAGACTCCTGCTCTTGAGATTGGATAAGGAGATCCAAGTCTCAAATGTAGACGAAAGCCTGAACAAGAATGGACCCATTAGGTTTTATACCCAACTCCTGACAAAAATCAATGGAAAAGTAAATTCCACTCGATTTCTAATTTCCAACCTAGGAAAAGAAGACATAATCCTCGGATTACGATGGTTAGACAGAATTAACCCCAAAGTAGACTGGACAAAGAAGACCATCAAGATTATCTCAGACAGGATAAAGAAACCAAACATATGACAAGCTGTCAACTGAGAAGTTCAGATTCTGAGATGTAACAAAGTGGGAAATTCTGAATGACTGCAACCTACTGAAAGCAATTCACAACTTGAGGAAGAGATATTTTCAACACTGGATCTCCCTGCTATTGTTATGAGCTTCATAAAGTTTCTGAGCTAAAATTTTTTATATCCTCCTTTAAAAGGTAGATTTGAACTTGTTCTCCATTTTCTGTATTTTCCACTCATATATTTGTTGGAATAAGGGTAAATAACTCCCCATCAATGTTTGTAGTGTATGTAATACAAAGCTAGGTAGAAATGTCAAAATGAACGTTGCATGATGTCTGTAGAAGCTAATTCCCAGAATTTTTCTGGAAGTAAACAAGTATCTACAACATTGGTCCTTCTTTTCTGCAAGAAGAAAAAATGCTACCATTCTTTTGAATTGATCCATGGAGACTCAGGATGTCTTTTAAACAATGCCTGAGATATAGCATGATAGCAAATAAATTTACACTGGGTATAACCTGAAAAGTCCTCAATAAAAGTACACTTTACATAGAGCAACCATCCTGGGCCAACCCTTGACATTTTTCTTGGTGGATTGGGGCTGAAAATATTTCTCAAGACACTTCTCATGCCTAGTAACACTATTCCAAAGAAATATACAGGGGTCCTATTCATACAAGGATTTGAGACCCACACCTTTCTTGCTCTATGCAAAATGTACTTTTATTGAGGACTTTTCAGGTTATACCCAGTGTAAATTTATTTGCTATTATACTACACTTCAGGCATTGTTTGAAAGACATCCTGAGTCTCCATGGATCAATTCAAAAGAATGGTAGCATTTTTTCTTCTTGCAGAAAAGAAGGACCAATGTTGTAGATACTTGTTTACTTCCAGAAAAATTCTGGGAATTAGCTTCTACAGACATCATGCAATGTTCATTTTGACATTTCTACCTAGCTTTGTATTACATACACTACAAACATTGATGGGGAGTTATTTACCCTTATTCCAACAAATATATGAGTGGAAAATACAGAAAATGGAGAACAAGTTTAAATCTACCTTTTAAAGGAGGATATAAAAAATTTTAGCTCAGAAACTTTATGAAGCTCATAACAATAGCAGGGAGATCCAGTGTTGAAAATATCTCTGATCTAGACATGTTAAATTTCTCATGTGGGGGCAAGGGCAAGGTTGGTGGATTTTATGATTATTCTTATATCCAATGAATTTATCAAGTTAGTTTTGAAACTTTAATTCATGAGAAAACGCTAAGCGTTGGCGGGAGCTCCACGGCAACTCCACGGCAGGTATACGTGGGAGGATTGGAGGGAACCCTACCCTAGGGCTTATCACGAGAACTTCGAATTACAAAAGCGAATCCTGTTGTGGAGCTCCCGCCAACCTTAGTGGGATGGTCGGACTCGTCGTAGTTTCCATTACCCAGATGTCCTCCAAAACTCTGCCATCGACATCCACCCCACTCCCCATTAACAGCCGTCCAGCCCCATCCCCTTCACACCCGCCACCCTCTTCCTACTCTCCTCATCGTGATTTTTCTCTTTCTCTGATGAGGGCGAAGTATATCCAGAACTACCCTCCACTCCATCTCCATACTCGTTCAGTCCTCAACGTTCAACGTCAACGTCCACCTCTTCCTCCATCAACATTCCTCCCCAGCGATGGCTCAACCCTTCCCTTCCCTTCCCTTCCCTAACCGAACCTTGCCCCCTCTCGCCTCTCATATACCCCAACGCCCTCCGCAGACACCCTTCCTTCCCTGGCATACGTGTGGCCTGCGTTTCTCAGACAGTCGCCATATCCCTTTGTTAGCCATAGGATCAAAACGTCGACGAGCCTCGGACTTGGCTGGCTTTTGGTGGTATATGACGTGGATGGGCATGGAGAGTCACCTCTCAGATCTTTTCGAGCTAGGGTGAATCCGCAATACGAACGGACCGGAAAACTTTTGATCCAAGCATTGCGAGGCGACATTCAGCTTCTTATTCTTACCCTCCTCAAGTCCGAGCTCGATGCCAAAGTCGAAATTTGGAGCTCCTGAATGATCGTACAAACTTGCGAGGAACGTGAACGAAGACGCCGTCGGCGAGGGTTGGTAGTAAGAAGGGGAGCAAGGCTTCCGTGGACGTCTTTAAATTTGTCCCCACGAATGGATACCTATCCTTCAAGCCCAGCAGATCGTACCAGTAGAGTCTCTCCTACCACACTCCACGCCAACCCATTTCCCCTTCTCCTCCCACTCACACTGCCTCATCCGATACCCTACGAGTGCAGTCTGACAGTAGATCTCGGATCTTGCTCACTCTATCGTCGACTTGTTTCCATCGTCTCCAGGTACCTCTGCCCTGGTCATACCCACCTTGTCAGTCGTTTTGCTTCAAGTCGCTGGGATGCACGCACACGAGAACGTCGACCGGTAGCTCTAAATGCTCTCTTGTCCAAGATTCGCCGTCTGTATGCTCTCTCGATACCCAAGGAAGCTTCCCCCGCCTATAGTCACAAAAAAGGTGTGCACTAAGTGTCCTGCCTTCTAACTGCCTTTCATGACTCAATCGAAGGTGTGGCAGCTCACTACGTACACCTTGCAAAGGCTTTTAACAAGTTCGAGTGACTCTTTCACCCTATTCCACCGCAACCATGGCCCATTTTGGTGGGGCTGGTTTCTGCGCGCGGTTAAAGATGCCGATTGGGCTGAGGTTTCGACAACGAGCTCTGCTGGGAGGCTGAGCCTCGTTGAGGTCTTCGAGGTTTGTTGGCGAAGATAGCGACCATGCTTGGAGGAGTGCTCACGGGTGTATAAAAGGGTCGTTGACATTCAACGCCCATTGACGTGAGGTTGAGGCTCAATTGTTGATCTTTTCCAGTAAGTCTATCTCCATTCCTATAAGCTATAATGGCGATAGCTAACGAGTCAGTTGGTTCTTGCAGGATGAGCAACATAAGTATCGAGCTTATCAAAGTCCAACACCTTTGTTACTGCAGTCCGACTGTGTCTTGAACCAACTTTCTTTACCTCTCTCTCTTTGGGACGATGCTGCCGCAAGACTCGCGACCGAATCCCTTCCACCTAACTCCGTTATGTCAATGGCGCATGACGGCAATGCAGCTTTTTCCAACGCTCTCGCCCAAAATCTTCTCCGTCGTAGAATCTATCGTGGAATCAATCCTTAACATCTTATCTATTTTCTTGAGAACAAGATGAAAGCGGAACGGCGCCAGTTGTAGAAACTCAAACCGTGATCAAGCGCCCACCACGTGACAAATACCAACGCTGTCCTGTACCCATCTTTCAAACCCACAAAAACTCACAAAGCAGTCTAAAAACTTCTCTTAAAGCCCTCAACAACCCCTTAGAGTTACTGCAGTGCTATCAATTCAAAAGCTACCGTGAAAACCGCCGAAAAATGGGGAAGAACCGAACAATAGCGCTAGGCGCCTCTCCAGAAACCCTGGAAGATTTGGCAATAGCTGAAGAAAGGACGGAGGACATATAGCGTGTGATCGCGTCTTGGTTTCGTTTGGGAGCTGGTGAGTACTTCCGTTTGAATGACATGTATGTACTGATTTTGTTCAAGTTGTTCATCTTTTGGCTATCCATAGTGCACGTCATGAGGCCAAATTCTACAAGTACGTCCCCTCCCGTCCCCATCTTGATCCCTCCTCCGTCTCTGACCCCGGCCCCCTAGGAGCCATGACCCACCCTTCCTGCCCCATAATTGTCGAAGTATAATAGGGCTCGATCACCCCTAGGACAACTTTCAGACGCGCAACAAACAGTGTTTGGACGGCAACTCAAACACGCCGTTAGGCCGGGAAACCCACTGGTGATACGTACCCATGAGGCGGAGGACGATACGTAGCGGACTTTGAGGGGAGGAAATGCCGAAAGAGGTCAAGGTTCGCTCCATTCCCTTTGCTATCCTTTTCCCGGTTCTTGCAAACCCATACCACTACCGCAGATTCATTTACACTTACTATCCGATACGCTAAAGTTTTAAGCGTGTCTCGTGGTCCACAGATGCAAATGCTGAGACGATGTAAAGGTTGGGACAGTGTTGTGGTGCTGGGTTGGTATCAGGTACGCAAAGCTCGTTCTGTACGTTTCTTGATCCTCATCTGGCTACCCCCAACTTCGTTTAGGGTGCAAAAGTTGAAAACCGTCGACGTCCAATCCAGAAACCACTCCATCCTCGCTCGCCCTCTGCATTGTCAAGGTCTTGATGTTTCGTTAGTGTTAATAATAGCGATGCTCGAGGGAGAGCCCACTGGCGAACAGAGGTCGTGGCCGTTTGCAAGTTATTGAGGTGCGGTCAAAGGGCCCTTGATTCATCAGTTCACATTTACTGTGGAGGCTTTTCAAGTAAGGCTATTTTCATTCATATAATGGTGGTCGCTAACGAGTCTACACACAGTTGGCTCTTATAGGAAGTTCTGCCGCACCCCCTCTATGTCTTGAATCAACTCTCCTCGCGAGGAGACTACGAGTCCTCATCCGACGCTAACATTAAGCTCAAGTCGAGGCTTGCGAATGAAAGCCCTTCCACCTACTTTCTTTATGTCAACGACGGACGACAACTTCAACGCCCTCACGTAAGACCCCCTTTGCAGTGGCGCCGCTCGTCTCTGTTGTGTCTTACCGCCTCAACCAGAGACAGAAGTTAGCGCTTCATCATCCTAAACGTGGTATGCAGCCCCGTTGCAACGTGAAACAAACGTTGTTCGGACGGTAACTATAACACGCTGCTAGGCCGGAAACCGCTCGTGATACATATGTACAGGAGGATATTGAGCGGATATTGAAGGAGGAGGTGTTGAAGGATTCCAAGGTTCGTTTTGTTCCCTCTTTTGTTGTTATCACCTTATGGTCGTCACTACCGCAGATCCATATGCGCTGCTTCTTCAGTACACCTGATTTTCTAAACACGACCCAACTGATCGTGTACTCGTACACCTTACAAAAGCTTTCAACGATTCAGAGGGACTCCTTTGCCTGATTAGGTCGCAACAATTGCCCATTTTGGTGAAGCTGGCTTCTGTGCACTTCTCTGTCGTGGTTGCAGGTTCTGATGGCGCTGAGATCTTGTTGGTGAACCGTGTTAGGAGGCTGAGCATCGTCGAGGTCTTGGATGTTCGTTGGCGGAGATAATGTCGATGGGTCGAAAGAGTCCTCGCAGGCGAAGAGAGGGTTGTGGTTGTTTGAAATTCATTACGGTTAAGGGGCCCTGCCAGCCTTTGCTCAATTCTTGATCTTTTGGTAAGTCTATCTTCATCACTCCTATAAAAGTGGTAGCTAACGAGTCAGCTGACTCTCATAGGATGAGATACGTAGGTGTCCACTCAAAGTCCCAGCACCTTCTACCGCAGTCCCTCTACGTCTTGAAGCCACTCTCCTTCGGAGGATCAATCCGACGCTACCACAACATCAAGTCCAATGTCGACACTCGCAAACGAACTTAACTTCCCTTAAGTCAACGACGATTGATACCAACCTAGCCTCTGTACTGCATCGACCCCGCTTCCCTAATCTCCCATTGCTGACCTGTTGTATGGCCACAACTCAGGGACACGAGCCGTGGCCAGCCCCTCATGCTCTGCATTGCCCTCCATCTGGACTAGTTGGGTAGACCTCTCAAGGACCACGGACGCCTAGCTTCGAAGCCTGGTAGCCGATGCAGGCGTTGAGTGACCGGTCGCGGTTGGAGGAATTTGACGAAAAGATTGCGGTCGCAAAAGTCAAGCAAAAGTGGTCACAGAAGATGTGGAATTTCATTCGGATGTGTGCACATTTCCAAGTCGCATAGGCCTGCGGGCGCGCGTGTAAACGTCGTACTATTTTTAATTAATCCTTCACATTTTATCTCTGTAGTTTACTGGGACTCTGTACATACTTGCTTGAGAACGAGGTGAAAGGGGAACGGTGCCAATTATATTCAAACACCCATCACCTAAACAAACACCAACGCCCGTCTGTCTTCCAAACCCACCAAAACGAGTCGAAAAACTCCTCTTAAAGGCCCTCAACAACCCCTTTGAACTACTGCGATTATCAGTTGAAAAAACTCCTGTCAAAACACGTCAAAATTGGGGAGAGAACTCCTGGATTCCAAGAACACCTAGCCGTATAGCGCACGGCGCCTATCCAGGAACCCTGGAAGAAACTCGCGGATTCGACGGTAGCTGAAGAGAGGACAGAGGGGAGATGGTATGGGATCGCGTCCTGGTTCCAGTTGGGTGAGTACTATGGTTTGGTGCTTATCGATGACGAGTACTGATTCTGTTCAAGTTGTTACATACCACTGCTAGTCGCGATGTCAATTCCGTAGAACACGACACGTACGTCACCTCTCGTTCTTCCTCCATCTCTGACATTAGCCCCCTAGAAGCCATGGCCTACGACGCAAGGCGTTCGGACGGCAACTCAAACGCGTCATTAGACTGTGGAACCCACTGGTGATACGTACCCATGAGGCAGAGGCCGACACGTAGCGGACTTCGAGGGAAGGAGATGCCGAAAGAATCCAAGGTTCGTTCTCTTCATTTGGCTATTCTTTTCCCAGTTCTTACAAGAACTTACCACCATCACAGATTCACGCACACTGCGCTCCTCTGATACGCCAGAATTTGTAGCCTGACGCCCTGTCCCAACATCTACATATATATCACAGGTACTCCTACCCTCTCCCTTTTTCCTTCTAACTTCTCATCCACCCCTCTCTCCACAGATGCGGACCTACCAAACGTCCTCTATTATCCAGCTCTGGATTTTCCAAAAAATCGACCTTCCTCCACATCTCTCGAACCTATACGAATCCCCCACAGCCGGAAAGATGTCGCTGATATGACGGCAATGAAACGTGGATGAGGGTTTGGCAGCGGAGAGAGGCGAGGGGAGTAGCATGCGGTTTGAGGTACCGGTGGTTTTGCACGCATATAGGCACTTGAGATGGGATGGAAACGACATCCTTCTCTCCGTGTCCCAACTTGCCTGTCGTCCACCTACTGCTCCCAGTCCGGTGCCCTCCTCTGGCCGTTCAGTCGTTCAGCTTGACGTTTCCTTTCAATTCCCGCATTCACCACATCAACTCCCTCTTCACCTCGTCCTTGTGCCTCTACGTCATCATCGATCTCATCTTTAGATTCCAATCCATGTTCGCGATTCAGAACTCTGCCGCGATCCCCACAAAGTGACTATTAAGCCGCTCGTCATTGCCAAGCACAATGGTCCGCCACGAACGTCCCCGTTCAACGACAGTGAGCGCCCCGTTTCCGCTTCACTCCTCCAGCTGTTCAAGAATCCCATCAAAAGACCCATCCCGCTCCCTCCCACACCATTAAGCGATTAGAAGCGGACCCCGCCAATGGCCTGGAAGAAATCCAATCACGTGCCTCAGTGCTCCCTTCCTCTGACGACGTCTCGTCCTTGCCAAGCCCGGTGCTCAAATCGAAATGGTCCTCTTCGATGAACACTTGTTTCTCCAACTTCACAGCCCATCCGGTCACCCATTTCCCAACCTCGAGTTCTACTGCGACATCGTGATCTCGGGTAGGCCTTAACTATTTCCCAGAGATTATACATTGGCTTGACATGAACACAAAGGTGGTTAATAAGGCCCGGGAAAGGAGGGGGGCAGAAATTGATTAAAAATGAGGACTACCATAATGCGGAAAGCCTGAGAACGTCTTTGATGTCATCCAATTTCAATAAGATTTCCGTGACTCTGCGCTCTCTTTGTTGTCGATTTGGGTCTGGAATAAATATCAGTGTCTTGATCTCCTCAGCAACACTGTAATTTATGAGTAAGATCTGACTTATGAGTATTAATATATGCTTACCTTTCTATGGAATGCCAGACAGCTAAGTCGGCTTTCGAGTCCATCATCAAATCAACAGGTTCTAGCCGGTGCAAAAAGTGACAAAACTTTAGACCCAGATGCAGATTCGTCTGCTCGATGAACTCCGGAACACTAAGCATATCAAGGGCATACTGCGCAGCTTTTCGAAGTGAGGGATGCGATGAACCCGTCTCCATCTGTTTCAATCTGTGTACGATCTTCTTCGAGGAGGGCAGACCATATCTCCAGCTCAGATTTATGGTGGCAGATGCTTCGGCTAAAAGTTGACGAACACTGTGCATTTGATGAGGAAAGTCCCCCTAGTTTGTTATTTAATGTTGAAACCACAGAGAAACAACAAGGAACACTAACCGCGAGCAAATATTCCAAATACATTATTTCGGTTTCAAGCCCTTCGGGGTTCCGAGAAAATGGTTTTACAAATCTCCAACCCCATGACAAGGACCAATAGCAGCTTTCGCCTAAATGACCTAAAAAACGTGAAAAGACCCTTTCATAAGCATCCCCTTTAAAATGTAGCTTCAATGGCTCCATCACGCTGCGACGCGGATGTCTATCCTTATAGAAATGGATAGCTTTGTAGAGGTGAAAATTCCAGAACTGCCATGAATATCGTGAAAGGGTCGATGTAAAAAGAATGATATCGTTGAAAGGTCGGTCTCCATTGCAGTCGGCAGTAACAACCTCAATGCAGTTTTCCAAGAGGCAAAGATGTTGCACAATGTGATCGACATAAAAGTCATCAGGGAAGCGTTGAGAGCGGCGTCGATCGGTCAAAAAGTCGTGTAAAGATGCGTGAAAAAAGGATATTGTTCCGTCACTGGTGTCTGGAATTTGAAAAATTGATTTGCATCCCCTCAAAAGTTGACGAAGTTGGGCTGTATCACTTAGCCTGAGGAACATCGTAATCTCGCTCAGGGTAAGGGAATACTTGCTGGGCATGAGGCAAAGCACTCCCAAGATACGCTTGAAGTCGGGATTGGCAGAATGTGGCGCATTCCGTAAGACCTGCAGGTAAAGACCGTCGAGGCCATGATGCTGCTTCATCGCGTCCTTTAGTTTGCTATCAGGAGACTTGATACGACCCTTTGAATTGTCGTCCAAATCACTGACGAACATGATAAGGGTAGAGGCATAAATAAAGAGACCTTCTGATTTTTTGACTAAACGCACGATTTCTTCTTCTGTCGGCCATGGCTTTACTACGTCGGTCAGGTAGTCCGAAAGCTTGAGACTGAGGATCTCAAATTCTTTTCTGAAAAATCGTTGAATATCCTCGTCTGCTTTGAAGTCCATCAAATTTGTAACACAAGTCCTCTCAGGATGACAGAGAAATGTTTCCCGAATTTTGTCCTCTGGTCGACTGGTCAATAAGAATCGGATCGGAGGTGGGGAGTCTTGGTATTCGTTAATGAGAAGTGTAATCAGACGGTGAATGGAGTCAGAACCCTCAACCGAAGTACATTCATCGAGCCCATCAATGACTACAATCATCAGAGGGGGATTGAGAAAGGCTTCAAGGCTAGCTTGAATGATACGATGCCTGAAAATGAGTATTGCGAAGACCCCGAGTAAGGCCATTCCACTGATGTCGGTGACGAATGGACAAAGTATGAGGCAGTTGAACATGACTGCGCAGAATCCGTGGAGAGCTTGAACGCAATTGTACGACAAAAGGTTCAATGAATTGAAGCGAAAGAAGTTCATGACCAGGGCGAGAACGTGTATCCTTTGGGAGCTAGTCCACACGGTAAGGGCGGCGTAGAGTTTCTTGATTGTATTCACAATCGTGATGATGTAGAGAAGATAACGAGGGCGAACCGGGTCAATAACGAGCTGTTGTAATTGACAGATTGGGGATGTTGAAAAGATGGCGCGGTCGTGATGAAGAACTTTTTCAACTCGATTCCTGACCGCGGAATTGGATCTAGCATTCTGGTAAGCGATTGTCGCAATGACACCGATGGCCGACCGACGGCCTTGGTGATGAGCAGGATCCCGCGAAAAGAAAAAGCTGCCTGCCAGACGTTTTTGTTTAGCGAACTCGTCCGCGACGGACATCGCAATTGACGTCTTTCCGGAACCGGCGAGACCATGAAGCCAGAATACTGCGGTGTCATCGCGGGAATCCACCCATCTGCGAATGTGTTTCAGTATTTCTTCTCGCGTCTCAGCTTGGCAAGGCACCGCTGATTGACGTTCCCATGAGTCGAACGAGGCGCTTATCACCGCCCGTTCTAACAAAATATCCAAACCTCGAGCTATAGCGCAACGTTGAGCCTCGTCAGTGGGATACATGTTCTTTTTTTACATACTAGGTTGGGTGGTTGTTCGATTGTCAACGGCGCCTTGATATGTTATATTCTGGGTGTCGTCTAATCAAGTACCAGTCAAGCATCGTCAGAGTGTCTTGTTGGATACTCACGTCGACTGTTGTCTGTGATAGAGTTATCATTATGCGAGTGTCTATTGGCGGTGCGATGTTGATTGTAGGAATTTTGAGTGTTCATCATCGACATGGCTTTGACCAAGGCAGGCCACCGACGTGAACAGGTAAAACCAGTCAGAAACGCGAGATATCATTCCGCTTATATAACCCCATGTCTGATATGTAGGACAAACAACGTCGGCATGAAATCATAATGCCGGAGCAAAGCTGTGATCATGTGACACGTTCTGTTGATCAAAGGACGCAACGTGACTTTGAGACTCGACAGGCAACTCTTGTGCATTTTGAGGGGTGTAGCAGCACAGCAGTGACCACTTGTGGATCAGTTGTCATCACATCCACCTTAGCATTGTCGACCATGGCATCTACTTGTTGGAATTACAAGCAAATCACATTTATGAAGGCAACATTTGCATTGGTCTGTGTTTTCTCCTTTATTGTTCTGTAGCTGAGGTCTTATCAGTGCCCCCCTAATTCCTGCAGGAATCCGGTCATTCCTGCGGATTCCGGTGGATTCCGGAGGAATGAAATTTAGCAGGGAGGCCTGCTATTTTCATCATTCCGGTGCCTTACCATTCCGGCGGAATTTGGGCATTCCGGAATTGACACCGGAATGATCCGCGGAATGCACAGGAACGGAATGCAACGGAATCCAGTCCTTTGTTTGTTTGTTTTACCTCTGTTACCAAACAAAGGCAACGTTACCAAACAAAGGCAACGCTACCAAACAAACTCAATACCATTCCCTTCCCCCACCACCAACCATCCTCTTTCCCACCCCCACGACAGCCACGATAAACCGACAACGGCACGCCGACCCACGACGACGACGACTCCACAACGGCAACGACCACCCAGCAACGAACGGCAACAACCACCGTCGGTGACGTGGCAGCCAAACGGACAACGACAACACCACCATCCACGAAAACGGACGACGACGACGACACCACCATCCACGAGCACCCACCACCATCCACGAGCGCCCACCACGACAACCACGCAAACGCCGCAACGCCACGTCACAGAACGACGACAACGCGACGAACCCACCACCATCCACGAGCGCCCACGACGACGATGCCACATCACAAGCCGACGACGACGCGTTGACGACAACACGACGACGACAACGCGACGACGACAACGCGTTGACGACAACGCGACGACGAAAACACATCGACAACCCCACGACGACGACAACGCGATGACGACAGCACGACGATAACCACGCGACGACCCAGGATGACGACGACGATGGACGACGAGGCCCAGCAGTACCCCCTTGACCTGAGGACTTCTTCTTCAATGATGGAGATCCAATAGCAATCCCAGCCTTGCCCAAGTAACGGCTCTTGTTGAAAGCCATAGAATTCACAAGCATGACAAGCAAGGATGTGAGGGAAAAAAGGAAAGAAAGTCTTACCCATGTACACAACTAACCCCTCAAAGAACCGGGTGCAACCGCGAACACGAGGAAGATCAAATTATGGGTCATGTGGCGATGGCAAGAACAATAATGAGGCCGACATGACAAAAAAGTCCGAGAAACATGGTATGACTGTACAAAATTACGAAGAGGGCAGGGCGGACGTCACTGAATCTGCAAAGCTAACTGGCTCTGGGTGGCAAGAGAACGACGAGGAAGGCGACAAGGGATGATGGGTGCACGACCAAAGTTGTCAAAGAAAGACTGGCAGTAGAAGCTCGTACACGCTTCTTCCAGTGCCTGAACATGTGCCTCTATCGGTAGGTGGCTAGCATCCTTAATTGAATCCGGGCAACCCTTCCATGGACACATCAACCTCCCAAGCTCCACAAGATGACGGTTCCATTCTTCCAGATCAAACGATGTCAAACCCAAGTCGCAATTGGGGATTTCGTTGATCATAAAAGATCCGAGCACATCACCCGACAAGGGAAATACCCTGAGAAGTTGCTCTGAGCGAGACCTTGCCGCTTCTGCATCTGTAACACCCCACCGGCCATGGTACAATGTGTCGGCAAGGAGAGCATCTAGGCTCAAGAGTTCAAACTGGAAACTCATGTGGCAGAGTTCCCAGAGAATCTCCTGAGTGACCTCTGGCGTCAACACCCGCTCAAGCGAGGTCTTATCAGTGCCCCCCTAATTCCTGCAGGAATCCGGTCATTCCGGTGGATTCCGGTGGATTCCAGAGGAATGAAATTTGGCAGGGAGGCCTGCTATTTTCATCATTCCGGTACCTTACCATTCCGGCGGAATTTGGGCATTCCGGAATTGACACCGGAATGATCCGCGGAATGCACAGGAACGGAATGTAATGGAATCCGGTCCTTTGTTTGTTTATTTTAGTTCTGTTACCAAACAAAGGCAACGTTACCAAACAATTGCAACACTTCCTTTCACCCACCACCAACCATCCTCGTCCCCCCACTTCCATTCCCTCCCACCACCCACGTTGGCAACGACAATGACGACCACACCACACTACCCAACAACAGCCACGACCACACCAGCATCGAACGGAAGCGACCACCGCCAGCAAGGTGGCACCACGACAATCCACGAGCGCCCACGACAACGTGGCCGATCCACGGGCGCCGCCATCAACCAGGGCCCACCACGCCAGCCAGCCACGAACGACACACCACGCGCCCACCAGCATCATCAACATGACACCGATGCAACGTGGCAGCGAAACGACGTGGAACGAGGTGCAAAAAGA